AGTAAAGAAAAAAGAAAAGACAAAAAGAAAAAGTATCTACTGAGGCCATGTGGTTAATTATATCTAGTACAAAGATCCACAAGCTTACTCAAACATAGAAGGCTGGCAGTTGCCCAAAGAAGTAAAGCTAATAAAGTTTAGTACATAACCCAAAAAGTATACCTACTTTTTGATAAAAAACAAAAAGCAAAGACCAGAAAAACAAAAAATTTAACAAGAAATTATTGCTAAAAAAAAAAGAAAAAAAAGTATTAGACAAGAAAGTTTTTAATATAAAGAAATATAGAAAGGAAAATACTGTAGAAAGGACAATACAAGAAAAAGAAGACTTGTGTGTAAAATTTCAAGAAACAGCATACACAGAAAACATGAATATAAATAGAATTAAAAACAATAAAAATAATTTTTCAGAACAAAGAAAATTATCGTATGACTAAAACAAAGAAAATCACAAACAATAATGATGTAATTTACAAATTTAGACATAGATGAACAAATTAGAAATAAAAGCTAATTTTAGAAATACTAAAATGGAAGTTCAGTGGATTTCACAAATTTTAAGGGAGGAATAAACAAAAAAAATGCTTAGGGAGCTAACAAAAATCAGGTGATTTTTTAGGAAAGGAGGGGGTAAAAAAGTTGAAATTATATATAAAAAACCTGACTATTTGTATATTAAGAGAGAGGGAGGAAGGGTAAACCTCTAATAAAAAATAATTAGGTGATTAATGACACAGCCCTTAAACACATACTAAACCAAGAATTTTTGCTAAGTATACCAAGCACTGCCAAATAATGCCGAATCGAAATTTTTGTATATAGTTGTTTTAAAAAGTAAAACTATACAGTAGATAAAAGAAAGTACAAGCAAAAATAAAATTTTGTATATAGTAATAACAAAAAGGATTATAATAAACTCATAACTCTCTGTAAACAAATAGTTGAAGTACAACAAGTTTAGATTTTACAAGAGGAGAAAAATATTACAAAGCAGATTATAACACAACGTAATATTAGCATAGCATAGTATAAATTATAGTTTATTATTTGTATATACAATATTAGTTATATTTATTTAGTATTTTTTTTTTTAAAAAAATTTGATGGCCATGTCACATGTCTGCTTTATTGATAAGGTATTACATTTCCCAAAGGAATTGTCTGAATTACATTATACCTTATAGCAAAAAATCTGGAATATAGCTCACCTGGTTTCCAATTGGACCTATGTGCGATCTGCCAAAAATAAATTTAATCTCTTTGGTTAGATTCGGCTTACTTAGATTTTGCTTACTTCACTTCAACTAACCTATTCCCAGATCATTGACCTGGTTCACCAGCCCATTATGACCGCCTTCTTTCCCAACCTTTTTCTCCTAGCCTCCTAGGTAGAAGAACTACCAACGAAAAACAAAAAAAAAAAAAACAAATATGAAATAAAAGAAAAATTAAAAAAGGGGAAAGTCTAAACTAAATGAAACTAAAAAAAAAAAAAACAAAGTAAAAAAAAAACAAGAAGAAAAAGGCTGAAAAAAAGACGGCTATGACGACACTATTATTGCCTGTGTTAGGCTATAAAAATTATATAATGTTGTATAGAAAAAAAATCTAATCTAACACTATATGTATTAAAAGAAGTGGAAAAAAAAAAGTTTAACGTTAAGAAATTTTTACACATGATCCCTCTGATCCTCTATACTGTAAACAGTACCACTGTCATTGTTTATTTGGCAAAGCAGAATCTAAATAAGCTCATGGAAGGTTCTATTTCGGTAGATGCATCCTAATTTGGAAGGAGTAAATACTGCAGATCTTTTGGAGGAGGTATACTGATTTTTCCACTTTTTGGCTAAAATTTCTAAAAAAATTTCAAAACTGCAAGAATATGTTTGTAGATATATAGTTGCAAGTACTTCTAAAATTTTAAAGAGTGTATTGAACCACTAGAACTTTGTTGTTTCCCCTGTGTTCTTCTTTGAAGTAACAGCCAACTTGCTTCATCGATGAAAATGAGCGATTTCACCACCGCACTTCACCAAGGTTTTTTATATAAGGGCACCACCTGCTAGTCATCTTGTAAAATAATGCTTCTGGCTTGTATGTAAATATTTACTTTAGAGAAGTTCCTTAGAAAAGCAGTTAACCTTTAGACAAACCACAAGGAGACCATGTCTCTTCAACAAAAGTTCTGTTTTCTGTTTATTAAATTTTAGGTACAAGTGATTATCAAGAAGAGTTTTATTATATTAATATTTATTTAGTATTAGTTATTAGGATAGAGATATTAATCACCTGATTTTTTAGAGTAGGAGGGGTCGGGAGCAAAATCAGGTGTTATATATTATCATTTAGACTAGCCAATCATATTTGATCTACTTAATGCTGTAATACTATATTTTAATAAGTCGATAACTTTATATAGAGGTTAACTTTCTCAACAAAATTTATCTCAATAGTGTATACATATATTGTTCTTTGCTTATTGAGATTGATAAGATGTGCTACTAGTTTATGCATTATCTCTACATAGAATAGTGAGATTTTTAAATTTCTCGCACTATACATATATACATACATATATATGTTTCTTAATTTTTTTTTCTTTATTTTTCAAAAAAAAATAAAAAAATACATTTATATATTTTTTACACTTATTTAAACGAATAGATCAAATTTTTTTTTTTTTTTTCACGACCTTGAATTTAAGCTGCAATTTTGAAAATAATTGAAATAAGAAAGTATATTTTATATATTTTTTAATCTGACTTTAATTATTACTTACTATTCTAAAACTTTAATCTGAGATATAATCAAGAGCAACAGCAATAGCAATAGATTCGTGATCAGTTATTCCAAGCAAAGATGAAAGAGTAGAGAAGTCTTCAACAATAGCTGAATTTGTTTCAGGTCTTTTGTCTAGTTGTCTACCCCAGGTGCTAAGATGTGCAAATTTTCAATGCTTGGTTAGAAAGAAAATTGTTAGAAAATATTTTTTGCAATGAGTACAATAGTGCCTAGTATAATCTTCTGAAAAAAAAGATGAAAGATAAGTATTATATAATGATATTTTAAGAGAATTAAAATATTCTAAAGTGTGAATTGTGTTTAAATAGTGATCATCCTTTCTCTTAATTAATAGAGGCAAAAACCATTGTTTATACTCAATAATGCAGCAGCCTCCTCAGCTCTTTTAGGAGAACAACATGATAAATTATTACATTTTCAGATATCTAAAGAATATTGACATATATTATAATGATCTTCAATCCAGAACCATGATACAGTTAAGTTATCATTGTTTTCATCATTGTTTTCATTATTTTCTTTATATTTTTCATTTTCTAATTTATTTTTATTTATTGAATATAATGTATTTGAAAAAGGGTTTATTTGTTCATCAACATATTCAGTGAATCTGGCTTTCTATAAATGAGGTCTTTTCGCCACAAATCAGCAAGAGCTTGGCCAGCATAACAGAAATTTTGAAGCCCAAGCTTATAGTTCTGCACATTTTCTTGAGAATCCAAGTGATTTTCAAAATTATTAATTGGTAAAGTAATTCCAGCAACTTTCTTGAATAGTGATGCCATGCTTCTTTCTACTAGATTGTATGCAGATTGTTCTAGAGTGTAAATACGAATTGTTAAATAATCTAAGTTTAAATGACGAAATAATAAACTATGTTTTTGAAATACTGTGGATTTTCATCTGGCCCACCATCAACCAAAAAGACCCACAATGTTTGACTTCATCATTATCTGAAACCTCTATCAAACTTTTTATTAGCTATTAATAATAATATGTTTGTTATATGTATAGCAGAAGAAGCTCGTTGATTTAAAAATTAGATAATTTATCTTTCTTTAGCTCCAATTTAGAAAAAAAAAGAATCTAACTTTGTAAGAGGCTTATGTTTCTTTCCATTAATATGGTCCAAATAATTTATACTGTCTTTGACAACACAGTGAACCAAGGTGCTATTGTGCTCTAATAAAAATTGCAATTTGACCAACTCGCAACGATTCATCAGTTTCTTTTGAATTGATTAACAAATAGACAGACAGTACTAATTTTTGTAAAGATCCGATTGGAAAATCATGATCAGATACTGACATAGGCTCAAGAATTGTTTGCATTGTCTCGAAATGTCTTCCTATAGCAGGAATGCCAACAGATACTTTCACTTTGTTGTCCTGCGACAGTATAACAGATTGATCAACAAAAACAAAGGCAAAGTTTCTTGCATTTTTTACTGATACTAAACAATAGTGCTCATCGATACAATCTCTTTTTTCATTCTAGCTAACTTCTACAATTAGAGTTATATTAGTATTTATAGTGTAAATTTATTTAGATACTTAGAAGGTATATGAGTTAAGAGGTATTTTTTTTATTTTTTTATTGAAAGTTCTAATAATTTACAACTCTACCTGCAATTCCAACTAAAGCCAGATGATGATAAGCTCTTGCTGAAAGGGTACGATTATTTCAGAACAAAATATAATTATGTGTAGTAGTACGTAACAAATACTCATTGTATTTTTCTTTTAATGAACTACAAAGATAATTAATAGTTCTAACTTTTATGATTTCATGACACCTTTGAGAATCAGCCTCTCCGAATTTGATACAAGAGTGTATGTTTATGCAAATCTGGGTATTGAAAAAGTAAAAGAGGATAGCTAGAAGAGTTGTACATTACAACCAATTGCTCTTTTTCAAGTAATTTTTTTTTTTTCTTGAGATTTTTTTTGATTTTTTGCGAGCCTTTTTAAATTTTCTAATTGAAGTTTCTGATCTTTAATACTTATTGGAAATCTGGAAAGAAAAATTTCTACAATACTCAGAATTAGTAATAATTCTTGCTATACCTTGCAATTCTTCCAATTTTTTTTCTAACTCTTTTTTTTTAGCCAATGCTGCTTTTTGTGCCATGGCATTGTAATGAATTAGTTCATAATTCAGGTATTGGCGATGACGATGATTGTGATAGTTGGAATTGTCTACTTGGAACATATATTATACACTCTTGCAATTGTACTTGGATATTTAGATACCTCAATATTTTATCCTCAATCTCATCTTTAGGAAGTTTTTTAACCAAATTCCACTCATTGTTGCATTCTTCATATAGAGCTTTTTTATCAAGAGACAGAGAACCTAATAAAGCTATCTTATAATAGGCAAATACATTGGTAAATTTATTTTTTTTTTAAGTTAAGGAGACCTCTTTGGCCTAAAAGCTTTTATTAGAATTTGAAACGATGTTTTATACGCAATTACAACGATGGTACATCAAGCTACACGTGCACCTTTTGAGTGCCTAATTTAAGTAGTCCGCCCGAGTGCCCATTTAAACCATCTGGTTATAACTACCACCGGTTAACCACCTAACTCCAGGTTTACTCACCATTTATATA